ATAGAAACTAGTTCTATTAATATTTAATTATTTGTTTGTTGTTTATTTGTTTCTTTCAAAAAATATTCATTACCAGAAACACCACCTAAAATATAAAAATAAATAAAAAGAAACAGAAAATCATACCAACAAACAACTATAAATAATAAAAGAATGAATGAATGAAATATTTTCTGTATATGCAGAGACACATTAATAATTTTATTAAACATTACAATCATAATTGTCAACATAGTTATCGTTATAACAATTACATAATTAATTAAATGATTTATTTTATTTTTTACTTTAATCATTTTCATCTTCATAAATACTTTAATAATAACTTCAAATAAACAATATCATAATAAAACACATTGAAGATACAACAAATATCAAAGTAAAAACAAAAATAAATCTTAATTACAAGAAAAGAAATAAAAGAAATAATGAATATCATTCAATTAAATGATAATATGATGTGGTGAAAGAAAACGAATAATACATGAAATTAAAATAAAAGAGAGAAATAACATTATATTTAAATAATTCATCTAATATCATTAACAATTTAATACACAAAAACTTAATAAGAAGAATAAAAACACTCAAACTACATTTAAACTTTCCCAATAATATATTACAAACATTAGTCATCAAAATTATGAAAGACTTAATGTTTTACATTTTCAATTCTGATAATATAATAGAAGAATAATCATCTAATTCTATCACAATTTAAAATAAATAGAACATAGAAGTAAAAATATAATGAAGAAATTGAAATAATTATTTCTTAATATTTATACAATCCAAATGTATATATCTATTTTTTAGTCTTTTATTGTTTTTATGGTTTATTTCTACAATTCTTTACTTAATAATATAAAGACATTGAACTAATATTTGTTTGTTGTCAGATTATATTTCTTTCTTTAAAAGAAAAATAAGACACAGAATTTTGATTTTGGTTTAACAAATTTAAAAGTTAGATATCAATTAAATTATTGAAAAAATTTCTTTAAGAAGAGAAAAACTATAAAATAAAGAGTTGTATGACTGAAACTATTGACTTATTTGGAATTTCATTATACCCAAATGAAATTATACCATGTTCTCTCTTGAAAGAATTATTTATTCGTTTGCAAGATGAAATGAATAAAAAGATTCAACAAAAATTATTATATCATCAACAACCCTCATTTCAAATTCAACTTACTCAAACAAATAATGAAATTAAAGAACTACAGTCTGAACTTATCAATTTGAAAACCCAATTTCATCATATTCAAACACAACAACATGAAATACTACATCAAAATAATTCTGTTCATTCAATTACACAAACATTTGAAACTCAACAAGATAAATTACCCCAAACTCAAAGTAAACAACCAATAACTAACCAAACGTATCAAATAAAACTTCCTACTGAAAAACCTCTTTCAATTGGAATAAAAGAAAATCCTTCAAGTACACATAAAAATGATATTAAACCATCTAAAACAATATTAAATAGTACTAATTCGAGAATTTCAACAATCAATGAACAAAGAAATAGGTTATATACTAATACATTCTCTGAATCACTTTCATGTTCACCTTCTGATTTTCAACAAGAAGTAGAAGATAATCAAATTCCACTCTCTGGTAATACTATATTTCAAAATGAAAGTCAATTTCATTCTTCTAATCATTTATTTTATTCTGAAGCTCTTTATTTTCATCAACCATCACAACCTTCTTATTCTCAATTTTTAACTAATTCTACAGTAAATACAGAAGTATCAAAACCAGATATAACTAAACATAATTCACAAAATGATTTATGTAAATCTATTCAATTATTAGAAACAAGTGATAAAGTATTAAATAATATACACAAGTCTATCTCATTTTTTAAAGATTATACTGGCAAAAGTTCATATAAAATATTATTTGATTCAAATAAACTTAAAGATACAAATTCATTCCCATCACAAATTTTTTTTCAAAGATGTAAATATATAAAGAAATTAGCAATATTTATATGTTATGGTGAATATTTATTTGGAGTATATTATAATAGTCAACTTATTCCAAGTGGTTCAATTTTTGGAACATCAGATTTTCTTTTTTCTATTACTTCACCAAAAATTTCTGAATATAAGAAATTTGACATTAATTCAATAGGAATACATAAATTGATTCTCTCTGGTTTTTATAATTCAACTGAACGAAATAAATTATTTGAAATAAAATTTAAATTTGGGTCAATGGTTATTTGTTCACCCCCAAATGAATGTTTGAATAATGAAATTGAATTAATTACAAATGATGTATATCAACAAATGGCAATTAGTTCTTGTATTCCCAAATCACCATTTAAAGCTGATAGAATAATAAGTATTTCATTTGAAATATGAATAATTAATTTTTCATTAGTTTAAGAGTTTTTATTGTTTTTGTTAAAGTTGAGAAGTGAAAGTAAAATAAAAAAAAAGAAGAAGAAAAAATGAACTTAAAATAATAAATTTGGTTATGAAAGAAGTAAAACATTTAAATCCTTCTTATATAAATTCAGGAATGATTAATGATACTGCTAAATGGAAATGGGGTGAATATAAACAATTTCATATGATTGGATATATTAATGATAATTCTATTTTAATAGTAAATGCTGATAATTTACGAGTATTTCAAGAACTTGTTTTTGATTCTCCACCAATTTCATTCTCTTTTTCACCTAAAGGAACGCTTATTGTTTCAACTAAAGATGTAGTTATTATTTATCATCCAGAAAATACAAGAACATTATTTCAACCACCATCATATCAAGAATATTCAAGACAAAATATACAAGTTGATTCAGTCAATTTTTTAAATATTGAAAATGAAGAGAATAAAGAATATTTTATTGCGACAGGTATATTTCTTCAGATTTATGAAATTAAAAAAAGAGAATCTGATCAAATCTTTTCTATTCCTATTGTTCATCAAAAACATCTTTCTACTTGTATTGATGGTATTCATTTTACTACTTGGGGTGATAAAAATTTTGTTAAAGTTTGGAGATATATTCATGAAACAAATAAAGTTGTAGTACAATATATTAAAACAAATGGTAAAGTTAAATATGCTACTTGGAGAAGAAATTGGACACAAGGATCACCTGCATTACTTATTATTTGTGATGAACAATCAACTACATTATGGTATGATAATCCATCATCAATTCAAAGTGAATCATTTTCTTTATTATGTTTTACTGGATTATATATTCCAGCATCAGATGGATTAGTGTCATGGATTTATTATCATCATAAATTACATAACCCATATTTTCCAATTCCTAAACCAAGTGAATCAACATCATTAAGTGGATTTCATAGTGCATCATTATGTCAAAGATTACTTCCAAAAATAGATATCCCACGACAATTTTCACCTGATTATTTAATTCAATTTGATGGAACAAAAATTATTATAATAACTGTCTCTTTTACTCCTCAAGGAACTCCTATTATTGATTTTTCTGAACCAATTCTGTTACCTGATAATTATTACAAAACATTTAATTTTAATAAAATCAATTCATTCATTCCTATGTGTACAGAATCACTTAGAGGTTGTGCAAAACCAACAAAAATATCATTATGTTGTAGAGCAGAAGGGAAATATTCATTGTTTTCATTAAAAAAAGAAGATGATGAATTACCTAAAACGTTTAAAGAACCATCACCATTAGTTATAGCAGGACATACTGCTCCAATAGAAACAATTATTGTTCATCAAACACAACAATATTTTCTTTCAATTTCAAAAAATGAAACTATTTTATGGTTAATTGGTGGTGTACAACAATATCTTGGAGCATATCTTAAATTAATTGGAATATTAAAACCTTATAAAAACTATTGTTTTATTCAAAATTATATTGTTGGAGTTAATGGAAAAGATGGAATAGTTTATCAAATAAATCAAACTGATACACCAGAAGAAGTTGATAATTTTACAATTCCATTTGAATCAACATGTATTTGTTGTATTCAAAATATTATTTGTATTGGATCTCAACAAGGTATACTTATGTATTCATTTAATGGTAAAATGTTAATGAAAGGAACAATTCGAGTAAAAGGAGTTATAAATATTAATGGAAATGAAGGAGGAATTATTTTTATTGGAACAAATGAAGGGAATTATTATTCTAAAATAGATAAACCCGTTGCTATTCCATTACCAATTGAAGGTAAAATATATTCACATTCTCAATTAAGAATTTGTGTTATTAATAATTGTAAAATAAGTATTTATCAAAAAGAATCATCAGAACATTATGAATTAGAAGCGACATTAGGTGATGCTTCTAATGATATTGTTATTTGTCAACAAAGATCAGGATATATTGATGTTTCAATTGGAAAGAAAAATGTTCTTGAATGGTGGGTACCATCAACAATTGCAAATATTAGAACATATAATTCTGGATATGAATTATTAGATTCTATTCAATTTAGTGAAAAAATAGGAGCAATAGGAATAACAAAAGAAGGTACTACTATTGTTGCAATAGGAAAAAAAATTCTTATTTATAGTAAATGGGAACAAAATATTCAAAGAATTATTCAATGTATTGAACCTCAACAAAGTTATTCATTATATCATCCAAGATGTTTATTACAATTATTATTTGCTGGTTCATTTAAACAAGTTGAAATTATATTATCAGTTTACTTAGAAACTATGAAAAACTCACAACCATTTCCATTAATTTATGATGATGTTTATGAAATATATAACTCAAATGATAGTTATCAAAAAGAACAACAAAAATTATATTCAGAAATTATTGAATTATTACAACAAATGAGAGATACTTCAATTACTACATCTGAACAAGCATGTATTGCTGCTATTTGTGAAGCATTAAAAATAATTAATTCAATGGAAGGACTTGATGAATGTGGAAAGAATTATTTCATTTCATTTAAATTAGACTGTTTATTAAATAAAATTTGTGGAAGAATTATGACACCAATTGATTTTATTTGGGCATATCATTCAGAAGCAAAAGAATCATTAAAAAGAGAATTAGAAATAATACAAGTTGATTTAAATGGAGCAATTGAAAGAGGAATTGGATATTGGATGTTAAATAAACCAGAATTATTAAAAGATATGTTATCAAATATAGCAAAAATTGAATATATGAAAAAGAAAGATCCAAATGATGTTGCAATTATATATATTTTATTAGGAAGAATTCCTGCTCTTGCAGCATTATATAGATTAAATAAAGAAATGAAAATTAATGATTTTTTAATGAAAGACTTTAATAATGAAAGAAATAAAATAGCAGCAATTAAAAATGCATATGTATTAAATAGTCAACATAAATATATTTTATCAATTGCATTTTTCTTAATTGGTGGAGCAATTACTGAAGCAATTCAAATTTCATTTGATAAATTAAATAATATTGGACTTGGTTTTATAATTGCAAAAATATGTAGTTTAGATTTTGAAACAACGATAAGAAATGTTTTATTACCTGAAGTAATTAAAAGAAATGATATTGTTGGTCAATTCTTTTGTTATATTCAATTAAAAGAATATCAAAATGCTATTAAATCTTTAATATTAATGAAAGAAGAACCAACACTTTTTTATTTATTAGAATATTTTAAAAGTGATGGATTATTAAAACAAATGTATGGTGTTAATGAAATTGAACATTCTTCATTTAACTTTATGAGAAGAAATATTCATTTATATTTAAGAAATAGATGTTCTCCTCTTGCTTATCATTTTCTTGATGCACAATTTGATCATACTTCATATCTTTCTAATTCAACAGTTTCAACAAAAAATGTTTCAATATCAAATACATCAAATGATGATTGGTTTGATGATTTTATGAGTAATAGTGCACCAATAGTTGAAGAAAAGAAAAAAGAAATTTCAATTAATCAATGTTTCCCAAAATTAATTGGTGATTTAGATATTAGTTCAATGAAAATTATTGCTCAAACAATTGCAGAACATTTGATTCATCGATTTGTATTACTTTCAAAATCATTTGAAAAAGATCCAATACTTCAAAATTTTGTAGTAAATAGAATAGTACCATTTTTAAATAATTTTGGCATTGAAAAAGAATCTGTTATAACTACATTTTATGATATTTGTACATTAACAGATTCTATTGATGTATTATGTATTTCTTCTTGTCTTAATGAACAAGAAGTTAAAATTAATAATTCTCTTCAAGACTCTCCTTTTGTTTCATCATTTGTTGATCAAGGAATGAATTATTCTATTCCAAAAAGACCTCCAAATGATGATATTAAAATTCCAATTCCAATTAAACAACGAACTATCATTTCACCAAATACTCTTCTTTCATCAGAACCAAAAACACCTTCAATTAAAAAACAAGTGTTACCAAAATTATCAAATAGTATTTCACCAAAAATGGCAACATCAAATTGTCTTGGAATGCAATTTATTAAAAAAGCAGAAGAACCACTTTATTTATATTTAATTTCAAGAGTATTTCCACCAGTTCATTCATTAAACGCTTTATCTCATTTATATTCAGAAGCACATCATGTATTTGTTACTCATTTAAATAAACAATTACAAATTCCAAAAGAATTTGTTAGTTTAATGGTAATATTAATATTTGTTGTATCTGGAAGAATTAAAAATTATGATTTAGTATTTAAATTAATTTCTACAAAAGATAGAACATTAAATAATGTTTGTTCTATTCTAAAAGAATGTATTAATGATGAACAAGAAGAAAATCAAGAAATGAGTGATTCAGAACAATTTGTAACTGGTTTATTAATGTTATTTACTATTCCATTACTTTCTGAATTACTTAAAGAAGTTGGATGTGTAAAAACTGATTTAATGTTAAAAAAATGGAAAGAGAGTTTAGTTAGTTATACAAGTTATTTAACTCCTACAAAACTTTTAGAAGAAGCACCAACTGAATTTTCATTTAGAATATTTTCTAAACAAGCAATTGAATATGCAGAAAATGCTTGTCAAGATAATGAGTCAATGAAAATGTTATATAGTTATTTTAAAAATAATCGTGCTGATGTTGTACGAAATACAATGAATTCAGTTTTTAATTCTACTAGTCTTCCTTCATATGTTAAAGAAGTTGAACCACAAATTAATGTTCCTCAATCCAAAAATACTTTAATGATTGATACTCCTCCTGTATATTCATATTGTTGTTCATATGATAATAATTTTGTTATTTATTCAACAAAAGATGGAATAAAAAGATTAGCAAAGTTTAAAGGTGTTCATAATGATATTCAATTTTGTTTTTATGGAATGCATCCTCAAACAAAAAAAGCAGTAAAAGTAACTCAATTTATTGGAAATTGTATGGATGCTAATC